TTTATTTTCAAAATTCGCTTGAAACAGTACTAAGGATTTTAATTTAATTCTATAAAATAAAATTTGAAGTTTTTAGTAAGTACCTCCACTATTTCGGCATAAAATTTTCTATATTGAAGTTTAAAATGAATTTTTTACAACGAAAAAACATTCTTGAAGATTTCATTTTAGCTTTAATTGAAAGTTTAATAATTAAATTTACGATTTCTATTAATTAAACAATTCTGGTGTATTTCAGATAGAAACTATATACATTTGATTGTCAAATTTAATTTCAAATTTTAAAATTTTCTTAAAAACAGCCATTTTCTTAATTTTAAGAAATTTGTAAACAAACACAAATTTATCGATTTTTAAAGTATTTAAAAAAATTCTGACACGTTATTTTAGTAAAATTAAAAAAATTAAAGTTAAAGTAATCTGATTTCAAAGAAATCTTTGTTACTTATAGCATAAAAAAATAATATACAACCAATTATTAACGAGCGGTCCTGTTCATCTGTTCGATCTATTGATGATGGTTGATTGACGAGCCGATGACAGCTACTACTGATGACCATAAATGACATAATTTTTAAGTCTGAGTTTTTAAAAAAATTATTCTATTTGAGTATGACACACACTAATGGAAATAAAATACATAAAATAAAATTATTTAATGAAATAGTAAATGAAAAAAAGAAAAAATAATTTAAAATTTAAAGTTTACACTTTTAAAGCTGAACGAAAAATACAACCTGTAAGAAACGAAATGTTTTGAAAAGGCCACGTAAAGGGACAAAACCCTTAGATCACGTGACCTTGTTATAATAATGGCAATTTCTGTATATCATACATGGAAATAAGGAATGTATTAAGTAAAAAAAATACAACATAAAAAATTATTTTTAAAAAAAGCGCAACTAAATTTATTAAACTTAGCAATTTTGGATTCGTAAATTTTTTTTTCTACTTAATTACTACATAATATCGAGGAACCCTCCTAATACAGAGCTTTACACGATTTAAAACTATTATAAATTATTATAGTTAAAATTTCTTAAAAAACGAAAAAATTCTTGTAAAAAATTAATTATTCATCAGAAAAAAATTATTTCTTCAGACAATAATGTCCTTAATATTACTTATTTACAAAAGCAATTAAAAGCTTTTCTAATTAAGTAATATAGTTTTATTGGATTCATTATTTTTCAATCCAGAGCAGATTTTCAGTTAAATAGCTCAAATTTGAAAAAAAAAAGTAGGTTATTTACCATCTTCGAAGACTCCTACTTTTAACAAAAAAAAAAAAAATTCAGGAACGAAAAAGGTTTTGGGTGAAATTTCATTAAATTAAGTAAATGTGGGGTAACATATTTTAAAAAAATATAATTTTTACCAAAATTTTCTAAAAAAAAATATTTAAAAAATAATTTCATTGATTTGTGAATAAGTCCTGAAAATTTCATTAAGATCGGACAATTATTTTATTTTTACAAGAATTTCCAAATCAATGTTTTCAACGGTAAAAAAACGCAAAAAAAAACAATGTTATTTTAAACGTCGCCGCGATGACGTAAAGAAAGACGACTTTAATCAAAATTTCGAACGTGTTAGAAAATATTAAAACATTTTAAAAAATAATTAAAAAATACTTTTTTCTTTCATCTAAATAATAACATAAGCATTTTGACGATAATACTTTATTTTCTTTAAGTTTGTGGCATTTTTCATTTACGCTATGCTGTTTTTCCACGAAAACAGTGGACATGCTTAGTTTTTTGTCTCCGTTTTTGAAACATCGTAATCCCTGTGTAACGATGGAACCATATTTTTAAATTAGTAAATTTATAATATTTATGCTCTGCAGAATTGTATTGAGCACTATTTTTTTAATTAATAAAAATACCGGATTACTCTTACTGTTCTTTCTCTTTATTTTCATATATATATATATATATATATATATATATATATATATATATATATATATATATATATATATATATATATATATTTCTACATAGTTAATGGATTTATTTTCAGACTTAGACACTTTTATTATTTCAAATGCTATTTTAGTGGATACCGTATTTGAGTAAAAAAAACAACATTAAAACAGTTTTTATTTCGCCTACTGGCCTGCGAGAAAACTTAAATAAAATGTCCAATGATAGTATTCGAACCTGCGTCCCTCTTCGTAGGATAAAATGCTAACTAATCTGTCTATATTCAGACCTCATCGCTACGAAAAGCGTCAAAACCAAGTGAGTTTCTATTTGCCATAAGACACATCCCATAAGAATATGTCGGATTAAAAATAAACAAATCCATTAACTCTTTAGAAATTGCTTTGTTTACGTTTCAGATATAAAAAAAATGACTTTTTGAGAAATATTCTGAACAAGGATACGGTTTCCACTAAAAATAAAGTTGGAAGTATATATATATATATATATATATATATATATATATATAATCACTTAAAAGTTATTTTTAGTGGATGCTCATATTTTAGTAGACGCTTCGTTAGAGATTTTTTACAAATCGCCTTGTTTACATTTCAATACAAAACTGATCAGATATGAAATTTCGAGAATCTGCGACGAGAAAGATTTCACTTAAAGGCATCCTTCCTCCCGGTTTGCTCGGTAAATTTTCTTCATAGCTGAGTCAGTATAAGCACGACAGGTCAGACAACTGTTACCATTTCCAAGGTTCGAATCCTGCTGGAGGATGCATATTTTTCTCTCATATTTTCTAATTTTTGTCTGGAATATTCCGGCCGAAAAAAAACACATATATCATTTAATAAATAAACAGAACGTCTACTCAAATATGAGTATCCGCTAAAATAACGTTTAAGTGATATTTTAATAAATAAAAAAAATCCATTACTTCATTTGATATATAAACTAATATAAAATAGATATAAAAACAGGCTCTAATATACATAACAAAAGAGTCTTTATATATATATATATATATATATATATATATATATATTTCTCTGCGTGCACTTCTAAGGCACTGTAGTTCCATACAAAAGCTTACCTTATTTTAACACAAAGCCACAACAAGCGACGCAGTGAGGATCAATCTCGCTACTTATGGTTAGCCAGATAATCCTGCTAATTATTCCGAGTCGCCTTATTATACGTTGTAAATAGTAACAGCGAATCAAAACGAAAGTCGGCGGTTTGTAAGTTTATCAATTGAGCAAATTTATTTTCTTATAACCGAAGTATGACGAATCAATAAATGCTTGAATTAATGTTTCTTCATCTTGTGGCTAAAGTTCAGACTTCAGCTTCGTACACAGTTGATACTTTCTTAATTTTTCCTTCGCTTATTTGAAGTGTAAATTTACAAGAGGATTAACGTAATCCACAAAGACCACATGGTTAGTGCAAAAGAAAAAAACAAATGATTTATAAAGGCTAAGCTAAAATAAAAACAAAAGTAAACAAAAGAGATGAAGGAGATAACTTTAGAAAATATTTCTTTCGCCATTTTCTTCACTAGGCGCCAACTTCATTCTGGAATACAGATCTGAAATTCTGGAATTCGTAGATGAAATATGACAGAAAGTATATATGTTTATATTGTTGGTCTTGAGAACTTACCATAATAGAAAATGGATGAAGTTCTAATTCCAGTAACAGATGCTGACATTATTGTCATCAATAAGTTTTGCTATTTCCGCCAACAGTAGATTGAGGACTCACAGGGCTTAATAATAGTTTCTTTTTAAACAAGAATTTCAATCATTGTGCGTTTTCAGGTCGATAGATAGTCGCCAGTAGCTAGATTGCTAGGGTAGGGTGTTTTATCGAGTCACCCTATCTAGACAGGTTGTCAAACAAAGATCTTCCGTCTGCACATTAAGTCAGGACTTGTGACCTAGTGATAGCACAACCACTGATGGCTTTGTCTACACAGTTTGACTCAAAACCTTCACTGAAACTTTGGTAGAATTTTCAGACACTTTCCAATGGTGTCGCAATCTGGTCTTCCTAGACCGATATTATTAAGAAGTCGTCTCCTTTTCAAATCAGCGTCCTGTGTATGACGATAAACTACATCCGCGTCCTGGGTATGACGATAAACTACATCCGCGTCCTGGGTATGACAATAAACTATGTCCAACAGCAAGGCCGCTGATCTGGAGGTTTTGAGGAGCATAGAACCATCTCTTAATTGCTGGTGTTCCCAGGTCCACCCTGACCCGGGGTGGTAGCACCTGTTAGGGTCCCAGCTATCGGCAAATAGTTAACTCCGAAACTGAGATAAAAAGTATTATAAAAGTGTAGAAATAGGTTTTTAATACCGAAATACTTTGTAGAAAAATATTACCAGAGATAAATTTTTGAAGAAAACAAATCTATTACCAGCAATATATTTTTGAAAAAATATTACCAGCAATACGTCTTTGAAAAAAAAAATCCAGCAATACATGTTTTAAAATAATATTACCAGCTATACATTTTTGAGGAAAAGTTGTCGGTATTAAATAACCCATTGAGGTTGATATGCCGTAATACACAACAGACCAAACTAAACCAAAACCTTTTCAAATCAACCTTGCTGAGATTCAAGCTCTCTAACATCTCGACCACTGGTACAGCTGCCAAAGCAATTTTGTTATGGTTATTTTCTAAGCGTAGCTTAGATGTGGCACAAGGCTGAAAGCATGGAGCCCTAGTGAGGATCGAACTCACTTTTCAGTCGTAACTGATCTAGCGAGACAAGCTTGCTAAACATTACACCACGCTGAGGTGCCCCAAGCAGTTTTGTTATGTCTAGATGGTAAACAAGGAATGAAATTTATTTACCGAGTAATTAGTTGGGTCAATATCGGTAAATCTACTGAGAAATATTAAGCGCAGAAAAGACAAAAGGGAAAGACTTAACTCATTAACCGATCATAGCTCTCCACAACTTCCTACCGTTTGTTGTTTTAAACAACGTTTGACACTTTACCAGTTCTATTTCTCCCCACTCTTCAATCAAGTCACGGCTTACAGCCATATCACGTTGAATCACTAGTTCCCGTACGATCATTGAAGTTAAGCAACGATGACCTCAGTCAATACCTAGATGGATGACAGCTTGGGAATACCAGGTGTTGTAAGCTTGGATGTGCGGCTGGTGCAATGGATAACGGCTCGGAATTATTAATCGGAGTGCTGAGTTCCAATTCCAGTGGGGTTCGTTATATTCACTTACGCGCAAATACACTTGGGAAAGCTATGGTTCTATCCCATCTACTCTAGCTATGGGTTAATTAGTAGAATTAATATCAGTAAATTCATAATCCAAAAATATTTTCTAGCTTTGAATAAGCCACAAAAAAGCGTAAAAAAAATCAATCAATGTAAGAATTCACACGAAATCATTTCGGATGTTACTCAATGTTTTCCCCCACCCCTATTTCATACAGCAGGGTCTGCGAGTGTTAAATTCTCCAAGGTTTCTGTTTACCGGAAATTTCAACTGTCTCTTCCTGATTTTAAGTATAAGTTTCCTTGTAGTTTCTATTTTTTTTTTAGAACTTCCTCATTGCTTATATGTCCTGTCCATGGTATTCTCGGCATCCTTCTAAAGAACGACATTGTTCGTAGCTTTTCAAATGCATTGTCAGTTGCAACCTTCTGTCTTCCAGAAACCTGTTCTTTTATTGTTCCTTTTCTTCACTAAAGTCACCCTATTCTTTTTTTACTCCCAGTAAACCTTTACGTCTTATTGGCAGTATGGCTTTGTTAGGAGTGAAATGATTTTTTTTTAAAAAGTTTATTCAGCAGACACCCCCTTTTTCTATTTTTGTGTATTTGTGGCAACATTTTCTTCTTTCGCACTTCTCACCTGTGGAACTCTCTTATGGCTTCTTGCTTTCCAATCAACTTTAAGCTTCAAACATTTAAATGCAATGTCTATCGTTATTTTCTGTTTTCTTAATTCCTGCTATTTTTTGCTCTCTTCCCGCTTAATAATAATAATTTCTTTTTCTTATATTCTCTGGCACTAAATAAACCCTTGCTTTTCTGTAACTTTACCGTATCTTGATCTCTCTTACGCAATTCCGGTGGGGGGGGGTAGTTTTTTTTTGTTTTTTTTTAAATGCACAAGAAGGTAAGCCAAAAGAAACTTATTTCCATATTTCCCGAAGATGCGAACAATTTTTATGATTCGAAGGTTTTGTATTCCTTTCTTCTCTAATTTATTTATAATTTTTAATTTATTTTCGTTTTACGCAATCCTTTCATTCCCACCCCCCCGCTCACATTTAGCTTATTCTTTTATGGCCTTGGACATAAACCATTCTCCACACAAATGGCCACTTAACTGTCCAGGCTGTGAGAATTTCTCTCGTAAATATGCCGTCGAGTTATAATTATTTTTCGTTGACCATTGTGCGTTTTTTTTTTTTTTTTCAGATATTTGTTCTCCAAAGCGACAAAGAGTATTTTATGAACTCAGTGAGAAAATCTTCATTAAACATTTGTAATTGACTTTTTTTTATTACCTTACTTTCTTGTATTCCTTTTATTTTGTAATTCTCAACCAGGATTAAACCAAAGATTAAATAATGCTGAACTGCTGGATAAGCTTGATTTATTTGAGAAAGATATTGAAATAATGCAGATCTTATACTGGGAAAGAACCGCCTACATACGGATAGAAAATGAATTTAGTAAATATTGTTTTAATCATCTCACCTCACCCCAGGGAAGGCAATAAGACCACTAAGACGCAAGGGTTTATTGAGTGTCAGAAAATATAAGAAAAAGCAATCATTATTAAGGGAGGGGGGGCAAAAATAGCAGGAGTTAAGAAAACAGAAAATAACGATTGACATTGCATTTAAATGTTTGAAGGTTAATGTTGATTGGAAAGCAAGACGCCATAAGAGATTTCCACAGGTGAGAAGTGCGAAAGAAGAAAATATTGTCACAAATACACAAAAATAGAAAAGGGGGTGTCTACTGAATAGACTTAAAAAAATCATTTTATCCCTAGCAAAGCCATACTGCCAATAAGGGTTACTGGGAGTAAAAAAAGAATAGGGTGACTTTAGGGAAGAAAAGGAACAATAAAAGAACAGGTTTTTGGAAGACAGAAGGTTGCAATTGACGATGCATTTGAATTCTTGGAGATTGTCGGTGTCACGGAAGCAAGAAACCGGAAGAAAGTCCCACATGTGAGAAGTGCGAGAAAAGAAACTATTAGAATACATCTTATGGCTATATATATCTATTTCAAGAATAAAACGATGAGGCCTACTTGTCAATCTATTAGTACGCTGTAATTGGTGCGAACGAGGTAACAAGGAAGAGAGCTCATCAGAACAACGGCCATGAAAATATTTCAAGAAAAGACACTGGGAAGTCACTCACCTTAAATCGTGATGCCAAGTCAGGACGATTACATAGTTGGAGCACCAGACCAGATAGAGCAGCAAAATTGAATTTATTCACCCTTTCGAGTAGGTGGTCCTGAGAAAATTAGGAGTCCTGACATGATACATAATTGGCGACCACCATCTTAATAACATATGTTATGTAGTTAACACAATGTTGATAGCCGACACAGAAAGGAAACTGATGGACTCCTAGAAGAGGATTGTAAAAGAAAGCGGGAAGAAAGGCCTAGGGAGAATGTGTTGTTGTCAGCAATGGAACAGACCAAAATGCGAACTATGAAATGGAGATGGTATTTATCAATTCACCCACAGGAATTGAATGCGGCACAAGGCCTTTTTAATGTGGGTATGTCCGAGCCCGTAGGCCCAGCCAAAAATAAAACCCATCTAAACCCGTCCAAGCGGGCTAGTTCCGTCAACCTCCCCGAACGAAACCCCACCCTTCGGCGGAGACTCGTCCGGGTTCCTCTCTGCAAGCAGAGAGTTCGACAGACACCCGGCTCGGCAGCTCACAAAGCACAGATGAAATGGAGATGTCGACATCAAGCAAGTACGACAATTTCTGACGGCGAATTGGGATAGCGAAAGATGTCTTCCAAAAGTTAAACAAAGTATTAAGAAACAGGAAAATTTTCTCAGCAACAAAAGAAGAAAGCGTTGGAGGTTTATGTAATATTGGTCGTCCTACATGGCAGTGACTGGACACAAATGAAGAAGAGACTTCAGGCAATAGAATTATACTATAGAATGATGCTGAGAATAATATGGACTGAACATGTGAGGGAGAACGAAATTTTAGGGAAATTAGAAACAAAAAGAACACTCATACTTAGAATCAGAAAGAGACAATTGAAATTTCTAGGGCACATAATGAGGAAAGAAGATTTGGAGAATTTGATACTCACAGGGCATAATGAACAAAAGAGGGATAGAGGAAAGCACCAGTTAAACTACCTATCGATCTCGTGTAATTGGTTGGCAGAACTGAGATTAGGAAAGGTAGCAAAAAAAAAAATCATTGTGAGGGACGAGAAAAATTATCCCCCCCACAAAGCGAGTTCGCCTTTCGTGTCGGGTCCTGTTGAAAAATCGCGACTGACATTAAAAGAGAAACGGATTATTCCGAAATTCCTATATCGCAGGCAGACGTACAAAGGGGGGGGGGAATAAAAAAAAGACTAAGAATTCAAACCAGCGTGAATTTATAAAATCGGAAGTTTCGGGCGAACGAGAAGTAAGTCTCGTATGCAAATTTTAGTTGCCTTTGACGCAGGCATAAATAGCGATTCTGTGAGGAAGACGGGGTTGGTGTTGTTGGCGTGACGGCGTACGTGCGTAATAGCGAGACCGAGAGAATAAGAGGTCACTAGCAACAGCTCACTTGGTAGCCAGGAGGGGGACCGGACGAAATCAAGCACTTTAATCTATTTCAGTCATCGCAAACGACGGGCGAACTGAATTACCCACAATCGCATTACTGATAAATATAAAGGATAGGAAGTTGGAGAGAGCCATGATCGCCCAACTTTAAAGGGATATGCACATAGAAAAAGAAGAAGGTTATCAGCAAGAGAAAAATTTCAAGATGCGATATGCGAATTGGAGACGTCAAAATCAAACAACAGAAATTTAATCACCTGGGAATTATTTTAAAAGAAGAGAGAAAATGTGGCACCGAAATCCGAAGAGGTATTGGAATAGCAAAATGCTTTACAGAGACTAAACAAAGTATTAAGAAACAAGAAGTATTCTTTACAAATAAAGAAAATACAGCTGTACTGCAATGAAGTAACAATTCTCCTATATAGATATGAATGCTGAACACTTTCCTCAAAGATGAAGAGAAGAGTTGGGGCGACAAATGTGTAGTTCTACAGAAGAATGTTGAGAATACCATATATGTAACATGTGGCAAAAGAGGAAGTTTTAAGAACAATGGAAGGAAAAAGGGTCACTTGTACTTATATGCTGTATGTCTTGTGAGTGTTAAATTCTCCAGGTCTTCAGTCCTCATTAGGTCTCTCTGAAATTGTCTTTTTCTGATCGCTGCTACCAGAAATTAATCTTAACACATTTATAGAATCTTATCAATTGGAAAAGCATAATTCTATCCCCTCTCACTAAAGCTATGGATCAAATATCAGATTAGACTGGGCTTTCTAGCTTTGGGTGGTAGCTAGTCAAGGGGCAGGACTACTCGGAATCTAAAATCATGGTGAAGACAACAAACTATTCCAGTATATTTTCCAGGAAAGATCATTTTAGAGATTACTCCTTGGTGCTGGTACCATGTCACCCGATAGAACCTGTCGTATGCCAATTGGAGAGGAGATGGTTGTCGTCCGGTGATCTCTATTGCTCTGAGACTTGCCATGATAGTTGCTCAGCGCTTGGATACAACCCCAAGAAGTGTTTGCAGATAATGTGCATCTGTGGACTTAGAAGAAAAAGCGTCGAAGTATCTTATAAGCAGTCGTTGTTGAATAAGTGGTTCCTTTGTAAGGACACAAAAAAGCGATTATCTCCCTTTGATCGAGATTGTCATGTGACGGCCGCTTAAGGAGTCACTTCATACAGTGACGAAAGTTTGTCGGTGATTCATTCAGTCAACTTATTGGTGTGAAGACACAATTATTATTCGTCCTGCCCTGGGCTTCTATCCGGGACAGATAGATACATTTTACAAGTCTATGATGCCGTTTCTCTTTGGGAATTTATATTCCCCAGATATAGAAATCTCCAGCTAGCAGAACTCAATTTGTGAAAACTCAAGACTTGCTATTTCCAGTTTGCGGAATATGACCTCGCTTTGGATATAGTAGATAAATCCGACCCGTTTGAACCTGGAGTCCTAAACATGGCTTCTCCAGAAACAAAAAACCCCAGAAGACTTTCATATTATATGTAAGACCATATCATTTCGTTCTCCTTTTACTCTGTTTGACCGTGTAGATATATGATGTACTATTACACGTGTAAATATATATATATATATATATATATATATATATATATATATATATATATATATTTTTTTTTGTGTTAAAAGTCACTCTGAGAACAAAGCATGTTTGTCATTCTTTTTCTTTCTGCCATTCCGTTCCGTCCGTGAAGTATGGTGTTGTTATATTACAGATATAATAATGCCCAGAACGGAGGAAATACAAATGGCCGAATAAACCTTTCTTCCATAGCTCTCTCCTGTTATATCTTTTTCAGCTCATGGCCACACTTCTGTATATAGCAAGCGTTTATCTTAAGGCTTCCAGCTCAGTTCTTCTGTAGCTTGTTGCCGTTCTCACAGGAGTGTGGTAAAACCTTTTTTGTTGCTGCCAAATAACGTAGAAGAAAAGGATATTTCAATGAATTCGGTGCTTCTGTAGCCAGTGTCATGTGACTCATATCATCAGTGATTGGTCCTTTCTGAAGCTATTTTACGTCTTCGTTTTATTCTATGTTTGATTAAGCTAATTTTAAGATTAATTATTCTAAATTCCAATAAAAGAGTTTGCTTGCCTTGAAAAATTAGCCTTCAAAAGCCTGATTATGCCAATTGGTTGATGATTGAGACCATCGAAAAATACACAAATATCTTAGCTACGAGACTGACACTGATTTCTTGAAAAATTTCTGTTGTAAAGAAGTCAGTTTTATAATCAATAGTCATCTATTTCTTTGTGTTGTGCTGGGCTTCTACTGAGGGAAGACCACAAATAACATTTGATACAGACGCAGTCTAATCCTTAACTATCTGAAATTTACTACTGCTAATCTTTTGAGGTTGAAGGAAGTAAATTTAGTTTGATATATGCGTTGAGGTTTAAAAAGACACAGGCATAAAAACAGAATTGGGATATTTCTATCTTTTTCGGTAAATATTAAATAAACATTTATCCCGTTAAAGTTAGCGCATGGCTATTTTTGGGGCTACAAGAGTTAGACGAATTCTCTTTTAATACTTTGCAAGATGCGTTAGAAATATATTAGATTTATTATGAACAAAAAAATATAACTGATTTATTTTTACGTCATTTTGCAAACAGCCTCTAAATTGTAGCCATTTTAAAAAGTGGCCATTTTATTTCGTCGGGATTTGTGTGATATCTCATATATCAAAATGACTTTTAAATAAAAAGAAGTGATATTTTTTTTTAAAAAAATCTTAGAAAATGCAGCAGGGATTTTTTTCGCATTACATATTAAAAATCAGCCTTAAATAATGATAATTTTTCTAGCAAAATATTGTATTGTAAAGCTTTTACGGTGGGTTTTAATGTAATCATAGTGCAAAATACCTATCTATCTAAGAAATTTTTTATGTTTATACGTTCTTTTTATAGATACAAATAATTAAGTAAATGATTTGTTCATAATAAACAGTATTAACAACATTTACCGGCATGAATATCAGAGAAATTTTCATAGAAAATATGCATCCTCCGACAGGAATCGAACCTGTATCCTATACGAAACCGTCATATAGCCTGACGTGCCTTAACCGATTGGGCCACAGAGGAGCTATTTTATTGTCTTTAAACGCAATTCTCTATGATTTTCTCTCATTCATTCATATCTTTTCAATGCGTATCCAAATGTAATCAAATGACCTCAAGCATTATCTATCTATCTATCTTTTCTTGCGACCACATCACATTGAAATACCGGTTTCCGTACGATGATCAGCGTAGTTACTCAACGTTGAGCCAGGTCCGTACCTTGATGGGTGACCACTTGAGAATACCAGGTGCTGTAAGCTTGGATGTGTGGGTGGTGTAAAGGATAATGGCTCAGAATTGTTTATTGGAGAGTCCAGATCTAATTTCCATTGGATTTGTTATATTCACTTACGCGTAAATACAATTGGGAAAAATATGATTTCACTGCTTCTTTCCCCAGCTATGGGTTAATTAGTAAGACTTGAATCATTAAGCCATTATTGTCTCCCCACCCCAAATTCTTACAACCTAAAAATATTTTCTGGCTTTAAATAACCTGAAAATGATTGATAAGCCGTAGAATAGGAATCAGACAATCAGAATCTAATTTTATTTATTTTTATTTATTGTATAATATTATACGGGTGGCATAGCGGTTATGGGTACGAAAAATGGAATCGGTGGATAGCGTTCAAATTCTTGCCGAGTTCACTCAACACTAATGCTTCTCTTCATTTCTTAGATAACGGTACAGCAGTAAGGTAGACAGGGCTTTTTAGCGCTGATAGGGCAAAATTCTATAACATCGACCCTGAATTCAAACCATAGCAAAGGCAGCAGGAGGTCAGCGTACTATATTACCCAATAACAACCATAGTATGGTTTATAATTATCAAAGAAAAGGAAGTTGTGGAGATTCATGATCGCTTATATATTGATAAATTATATTATAAATGGCAAATCTCTGTAGGATGTACACAACTGTTTGTAGAAATAGACTCAATCTGCAGCAATTTCCTGAAAGGTTTACAGAGTGAACAATTTCACAGAATGTGGAATCTTATACACGCAACAGATCTCAGTTTATACGTTGTCTTCTCGTTCTTCAAATCCTTTTGAACGACTCGGCTTCCCCAGATCCGTAGAAAGTATGATCAAGGTGAGTTATTATCACACACACACACACACACACACACACACACACACACACACACACACACACACACACACTTACAAAAAGTCCAGTTGCTGAGAGTTTGGTGGCGACTTTGCTGCTGGCAAAGATGCCCGAGGGGCTTCTGTGATGGTTAATGAGCCAAAGGTGGAAGCCGATCGGCCGTTGGGGAGGACGATAAAAGGAGTCATTAAATGGCCGAGATATCTGCAAGTCATGCCTCAGTTATACGCGCCAAACAATCGGATCAATAGTTTTTGCTGATGCCGAATTGGAAAGGAAATATTTGTAGAATAAGAGGAGGTCGTTAGAAGAAAAGGATTTTTGGTAGAATTGGTTTCCTCTTTATTTTCTGGATGCTTTCTTATATTTCTTTTCTTTTTCTTGTAGTCACATCTTTATTTCTAATTATAGCAATCTATCTATCTATCTATCTATCTATCTATCTATCTATCTATCTATCTATCTATCTAAGTCTGTTCATTATCTATCTATCTATCTATCTATCTATCTATCTATCTATCTATCTATCTAAGCCTGTTCATTATCTATCTATCTATCTATCTATCTATCTATCTATCTATCTAAGCCTGTTCATTATCTATCTATCTATCTATCTATCTATCTATCTATCTAAGTCTGTTCATTATCTATCTATCTATCTATCTATCTATCTATCTATCTATCTATCTATCTATCAGAGTGTTGAAACTTCCCTAATGCATGGAATAATAATGCAACACAAAACGTACTTAGAACAAAATGTATTGAAACAAGAAAGTGTATACAATATTTACTTATAGTCTTTTATATATTCCTGGTAAGACCGTTCCTGGAGAATGTGTTGACTGAGTCGCAGTCGGGCAGAGTCTCTGGTTGAATCTCTTGGTTCCTCCCTCTCTTCCTGGTACCAACCATATTTATATGGTCGGTATTCCACTATGCAAATTAGGTGGATCCTACCACAACACTAAGTCTGTTCATTATCTATCTATCTATCTATCTATCTATCTATCTATCTATCTATCTATCTAAGCCTGTTTATTATCTATCTATCTATCTATCTTTGTTCATTATCTATCTTTTATGTTTATCATCATCCTTCAAAGTATATTCTCTTAACGTTTTCTTTCTTTCTTTCTTTCTTTCTTTCTTTCTTATACAGGTTTTTCCGATGCGGCCTGGCTCCACTTAACCGTTATGCATGACGTCAATCTGAACTGATTTTAATTCCAGCGTGCTGAAAGAAGCCAGGTTGTTGCCAACAAAATTTTGCGTAAGACACAAACAACACCCAGTTCTTGATAATGACTGATACAGTCTAAAATACTTGAAAAAAAAAAAAAAAAGAAAAAAAAAAAAAAAAGACAAAACAACAAAAACAAATAACAAAACAAAAAACAAAAACAAAATAAAAATATCAAACTGAATAAAATATGTACTTCGGACAATTTGTTCACAGTTTTGATTCTGGTGTAAAATACAGGGTGCGATGGACGGATTGTCGTTTAAATTACGGAAAAATGTAAATAACACTGACATGTCTATTTAAAAGATATATTTACCAAAATTACACAAAAACATCTTGATGCTATCTAAAATTTTAACCCAGTTTTTGTTCGGACATCTAAATTGATTGTTTAAAATTTGACAAATTTTTTTCAAGCCAAATTTGAATTATTGAAGTTTATATGATTTTCTTAATAACTTCAGACAGAGTGTACATACAACAAACGATGTTTGTAAGGTTTTTAATTTTATTCAATTTCTCTTGTGTCATTACCATTCTAGAGAAATTGTCCATAATGTGTATTATCCAGAAGCCTTTCGCTTATTACTTTATTCATTTTCAAACGAGGATTTTTACTATATTTTTGTTTTGTTACTTATACTGGTTTTTTGACAGACCTTTTTTTGTCTTAGTGGAGTTTTTGCTTAGTTGTCGAACACAACTAAGACGTCTAGCTTCCGTTTAAAAAAAGAAGACTTTCAGGAATGGTTATTTTATCTTTATTAGAAGTATTTATAATATGTTCAAACGTTTATTCATATCGCCAAACTACACATACACACACACATATTCACACATACACAAACACACACATATATATATATATATATATATATTATATAAAAATATTATATACGTAGTACTTCAATATCTGTATATATTTCTGAGATGAGGTATTACGTACACTATTCACATTATTCGGACTATTGTCCTCATCTTTGTCGCCATATTTATTACAACGTTTCGGCCGTTGTACGCTCCGGCCTTCTTCAGGTGGTTAGAATGTCGAACTGAACCCTTTATTTCACTCGCTGGGGTAGACTGTTCTAGTTCCACGTGCCATGTTTAATGGATGTCAGTTGTCAGTTATCTCCTGTTAATTCCTCTCTGATAAGTGACATCCATTAAAATCATGGCACGTGGAACTAGAACAGTCTACCCCAGCGAGTGAAATAAAGGGTTCAGTTCGACATTCTAACCACCAAGGTCAATTTTCTCAAACGTTTTATAAACATTCTTAAAGACGTTTCTCTTGTTATTATCTTGCCAAGGTTTTTATTTGTTTTCATTGTTTTCTAAGCTCGGCTTAAATACTTTTTCGTAATTTCCAGTTTTGTGTTCTCATCTTTCAATAATTTTACAATATTTTTTGAGGTTATATCTGTACGACCTATGAAGCTATATATATATATATATATATATATATATATATGAAAACAATTGACCTCATAGTCTCTAATAACGCTACAACCACAAAACTAAATCCTCTACAAAAAAACAATGTAGTTTATCAATTTACATGCCCATTCAGAGATTGTATAAAGCCACTACATATATTGGTTTTACTACAACCACGCTCTCCCGTAGACTTAGCTGTCACCTTTCTGATCTTAGTTCTATTAAACAACATTTCTTAGAAAAACATAGCCATGTACATATTATTAGACAGATATTAGTTGATAATGCAATAATACTCATACATACGCACAATAAAAAGAACCTTCAGTTACTTGAGGCTATCTACATTAAAACAAAAGAACCCACACTCAACAAAATTACATTTCAAACTAATCACAACACATAACACTGCATGTAGACATATAGTTCTGTTTCTAATATTTCAGCCTCTCGCATGGTATGACGTCATAGAACCGCATCTTGAACTATTCCGCGACCGTTATCGTCGTATTGTAATCCTCTGTGTCAACATAACAAAATATTATCTTCAATGGTGAATATCTTTGTTAAAATATCCGTATAACCACTCTGAAGATGGCTCATGTGAGCCGAAAGCTTAGATCAAGGACCAACTTAATAAAAAATATTCAAATATTGTACAATTTTTGTCTTTATCACACGAAATTAAAGCAAACATACGAACATTAGAATGGCTCATGATCAGACATAATAGACATTCACTGTCTGTTATATTTAACAATATAAGTTTAAAATATATATATATATATATATATATATATATATATATATATATATATATATAAAATTATTCAATTGACGTATGTCATGGTGTGCAGAATTTTGTTAATAAAAGTTCTCAATAGATATCTAAAGCTATAATTGTTGTTATCAAAAAAATATAAAATCTTCATGATACTTATCAAAGACCGACTTAAACGTTCGCGGTATTTCGCTTGTTATCCAGATAAAAATATTGTATTATTAGCAGACAATACCAGCAATTGAAGCCTGAACTTGGGAGGCTTTGGAAGATAAAGAATAGAACGAGAAATAAATAATAAATGTTATTTTCGATTGACTATTGAAACTGTTGCAGAAACGAAGCCTCTTAGGAACGGTAAGAATAACCGGTAAGTGATGAACATTTAGAGTCGAATAAAATTGTATGATATCTAAAGCTATTTATGCATTAATTACTAGATATTAAGATCAAAAACTGAAAATATTGGAATAATAATAATAATAAAATAAAATGTGACACATGAGGACATCAATAATTCCAGTTGTAGTTGGAGCCCTCGGAATGATTGAAAAAATTCCAATAAATTAATTGAAGGGATTCCTGGTAGCCCATGCCTTAAAGAAACAATTTTTATAATACACACAGACAGATCAATTAAAGCTAATCGTCCTGACATCATTATTAGAGACTGCAAAGACAAAACGTGCCTCCTTGAACAGAGTCAAAACGTGTCGCAGACTGCAATGTATATTTGAAGATCTTTAAAGAAAACTATCAAAACACAAGAACCTTGAAATCGAAATCTCCAAAATGTGGCGCATGAGAACATTAACAATTCCAGTTGTAGTTGGAGCCCTCAGATTGATTGGAAAAGATTCCAATAGATTCATTGAACGAATCCATGGCAGCACATGCTTTAAAGAAATACAAAAAAAGTACTCACAAATACAGCCCACACAGTACTAAGGGTTTATCTATGTAAAATATGTGTTATTTTTTTTTCAAATGGAAAATGTCATGTTGCCATTTCTAACCTTAGGTCTCTGGTCGGGTCCGGAAAGTAATGAGTAAACACCAGAAACCCAAGGAAATAAAACACGAGTACTAATACTACTACTACTACTAATAATAATAAATGTGCCTTTCTTAAATGGGCAAATCCTTAATTAAGATTTCTTGAATGCACCCGTCGATATATTGAAAACGGAGTGGCTATTTCAAATACGGCTTTCCAATAAAATAACGTTTGAGATAATATATATATATATATATATATATATATATATATATGTGTGTGTGTGTGTTCTGTATATGTTTATTCATATATTTGGCAATATTTGCCGTTTAATAATATGAAAATAGGAGGCACGGTGAAGTAATGGATACTGGCTTCTACTGCGGCTGCCCCTACGACCCTGATAGGTCAGGAGATTTGCCCACGCACGAATATGGAAATATTCGGCATTCATTGACTGAACAGCCAGTGCTAATCTCGGTTGAAAATCATAAAATCTTTCTATGAAAACAATCTTTCGGAAAAAATAGGCTTCATAAATCCAGTAACTGTTATCGCTCTTTCCATCACTGATGGGGGCTTCCTTCTTAACTTTTCATTTGAAGTAGTGCGGAATCATGATTATGACATTAGTTTCTTTGCGAGTAACATCTGCTAACCATTTTTTTTTTTCAAAAGTGTTCAGTGGAAAATGTCATGATGCCATTTCTGACCTTAGGTCTCAGGTCGGGACCCAGAAAGAAATGAGTATACACCAGAAACGAAATGAAATAAAATGGTGATAATAATAATAGCAAACGACTGATAGATCTGTTTTGGAATTGAGCAGAAATCGAGTAAGGCTGTTCAGTTTCGTCGCCTTCGGTGTATAGTAAAAAACGACAGATGTCGGTGTTCGAGTCAAGATATAAAGTAGAATTTCGAATGGGTTTTCAAAGATAGCATACTTAGAAGATTAGAAGACTGGCGTAACATGTTACAGGTCCACATTACTCGAAGGCATATATCTCAAAGAGCGTGTGTAAATATAAAAGTGAACATTGACGTCAACACTGATACTGACCCGTATATATACGGGTCAGTGGTGCATTGTGGGGGGTCTATTTTGGCGGTTATATATTATCAGATTATTAAAAAATTCATTACTTTCCTTAGAATATATATATATATATATATATATATATATATATATATATATATATGAAATATATATATATATATATATATATATATATATATATGAAGAAATATAGTCTTAAGGTGTGCAGAAAGATCACATCTTTATTCCTTAATCATTTCACCCCGACTAAGGCAATAAAGCCACTAAACCACAAGGGCTTACTGAGAGTTAGAGAATATGAGGAAAATCACTATTAATGAGAGAGAACATTAAAAGAAAAAAATAATAAGACAGTAGATAATGATTGACATTGCATTTAAATTTTCGAAGATCAATGTTGGCTGGAAAACATGGAACCAGAAGGGAGTTCAACAAACGAGAAGCACAATAGAAGAAAATATTAGCATAGAACTTACGGTTACATCCAGCCAATTCAACTGTAAAATGATGAAACCTTGCTGCCAATCTAGTACTGTGCTTATATTCATAGAGTCTAGGTACCATAAGTAAGGTAATATTTATTTAGTTATAACACAAAAATGTGGCACAAGGCCAAAAGGTGGGATAGGGGAAGGTTG